TATCTATCTATCTATCTATGCATGTATCTATCTATGTATGTACCTATTTATTTATCTATCTATCTATCTACTTTCTACCTATTTATCTATCTATCTATCTATGCATGTATCTATCTATGTATGTACCTATTTATTTATCTATCTATCTATCTACTTTCTACCTATTTATCTATCTATCTATCTATGCATGTATCTATCTATGTATGTACCTATTTATTTATCTATCTATCTATCTACTTTCTACCTATTTATCTATCTATCTATCTATGCATGTATCTATCTATGTATGTACCTATTTATTTATCTATCTATCTATCTACTATCTATCTATCTATCTATCTATCTATCTATCTATATTATATACATATATATACGTAGATAGATAGATAGATATAGAGAGCGAGGGAGAGAGAGGAGTGAGAACGAGAGCGAGGAAAAGAGAGAGAGGAGTGAGAATTAACGAGAGCGAGGAAAAGAGAGAGAGAAGGGGGAGAAGGAGAGAGAAGCAAGTAAGGTATAAATGTATGTGAGCACACGCAATCAAATAACAAGTGGCAGGCGCACACGCCATGCTAACCTGCTCGTCGAGGACACTCAAGTATTGCCTGAAGTCAGGGTCGTCGTGTGTGTAATGTTTGCCAAACACGATACTGCAGATAATGGCCGATATGCTGGTAATTACGTGGCAATGCGGGTCAAATCCTGTCACGTTATCTTCATGTTCAAACACCTCCAGCAGAATCTTTACCTGCGCGAAATATTTAGCCGAATTTGTTCATATTGTTGTTACTTTCCTTATATTACGGTAATTCTTTGGTTGATTCACCTGTTTCCAATCCTATAAAATTTATTTATTTAGCTATTTAATTATTTATTGGTTTATTTATTTATTGGTTCATTTATTTATTTACTTAGTTATTTAGTCCGTAATGGCTGGTATTACTGCTATTATGCAGCAAGTAGCGTATTGAGTTTTGCGTGCCTACCTCTTCCGAAATCTTGCTCTCTAGCGTGAATTTTCCCATACCAAAATCCCGCAGGCAACTAAGCGTGAATCTCCTGTTCTCCCTCCACACGTCTCCTTGTGAAAACAACACACCTGGAAAGGAACACCACGACAGGCGTACAGTAGTGGCAGAGGTAAGCAAATAACAAGGATTGGATAATAGCTTTACAGCTATTACCTCAGGCCCGTTTTCGTCTTGCTTTTGGTTATGTATAAACGATTAGGATTTCGGTGAAAATTTATGTGTATTATCACAAAAATTTATTAACCAGTTCACAGTTAATTAAGTCATTGTAATATGTGATGAAAGTAATAATAATAGTGCAAAAATAATAGTACAAAAAAAATAATCACGATAATAGCAATGACAATAAACGTGTCAACTTCAGCAACGACAACGACGACAACGACCACGACAACGACGACAACGACAACAACAAGGACGGCAACAAAGACAACAGCGGTAACATTAATACATATCTTCCACTCGGTCGCCTATTTCAGGCCTGCAGGCGTCTCCGCATGCGTGTGGGCTTACCGAGGGTCCTGTTCTGCGTGTAATAATTAAGGAGTGCCGTGTCCGGACGCCCGGAGCATTCGTCCATGGCAAACGTCTTCTTAATCAGATTCAGGTCGTGCAGCACTATCGCTAGCAGGTTGCCCATCTGCAGGTGGTATATGCCTCCGTAGACTTTCGCCCAGTCCCTGCAAGCACGATAGGCTAAAACAGCTTACATTACATTAAAAAACATTAATTTTTTAACACACAGATCATGATTTGCGATTCGCCTAACTAATGAAGAGTACCACCACCACCACGAACAATTATATTGTTATTAATATTGTTCTTCTTCTTCTTCTTCTTATTATTATTATTATTATTATTGTTATTATTATTATTATTATTATTATTATTATCACCATCATCATCATCATCATCATCATCATCATCATCATCATCATCATTATTACTATTATTATTATTATTATTATTATTATTATTAGGCCTATTATTATTAGTATTATTATTTTCGCTGTAATTTTCACCATCATCATTGCAACTATCATCATACGTAATATCTCGGCCTGCATACCGTAACTGCGTGTGCATTTGTTTGTTGTCGATCCACGGCAGAGAGCCGACCACTGGCAGGCGACACCAGCGCGGCCCTGGTGGCAGACCTGCGGGCAGCCCTCGCAGCAGGTTCCACAGGTACCAGAGCACGACGAAGACGCAGCCAAACAGAGCCGCCGAACCAACGTACGACGTGTCGAGGACTAGCAACCCCATCCTACAGCTGTGTGACAAGCAAAATCTACATGTGACAGTCACGCAACAGCTATGTCACAAACAAAAGCTATATGTGACAGTCAAGCAACAGCGATGTCACAAACAAAAGCTATATGTGACGGTCACGTAACGGCTATGTCACAGTCACGCAATAATTATGTCACAAGCAACAGCTTGTGTCACAGTTACGTAATAGCTGTGTTACAGTCACGCAATAGTTATGTCACAATTATGTAATTTAGCTATGTCACAAGAAAAAGCGATATGTCACAGTTGTGTAAGAGCCATGTCACAGTCACACAATAGTTATGCCACAGTCATGTAACAGCTATGTCACAATTAAGCGAAAGCTATATGCCACAATTACGTGACAGCTACGTCACAGACACGCAACAGCTACGTCACAGTCACGCAACAGCTACGTCATAGTCACTATCAGCACAATCAGTGTCAACTATCCCACTGTAACAGATATGTCACGGGGCAAGTATCACTTACGGTCTCAGTTATGTCAGTATGATGTCAGAATTACGTCACCGGATCCGTTCCTTTGTATAGCGGCTAGGTGACAGACACGCTTCTCTCAGTATACGCAGTAGGTACGCGGCAGACCGTAGTACACAACGGCAAGTACGTCAAGTTACGTAGATGTAGTCGACACGTTAATAAGGTTTGCTCACTGTATCGGATGCTTAGTGTAGAGGTGTAATCGGTGCTAGGTGCTGGAGTGGATGGCGTTACAGTGCATGTACGCGGTCGACTAGCCTCCGTGAATGCAACCACGCTCGGCCGCGCAGCGAAAACGCCCTTAAAAATGTCTGCTCGCGTGAATCGCCAGCGCGTGTGTGCATGTGTGTGTGTGTGTGTGTGTGTGCGTGCGTGCGTGCGCGCGCGCGCGC